TCTGTCCCAGCCAGGGGGAGAGACAGAGAACAAAAAACAGAGGAATGTCGTCGTGGCTGCCAGGAGCTTGTGGCTGCCATGTTTTCCTGCCTCTTACACTGCTGTTCGCTGCTCGCTTAGTCCAGGGCGTACCTGGTCTTGGAGGGCAGTAACAGAACTGGCAGCTTGTTGGGAAGTCAGAGGCTTTGTCTGCTTTGTTTGGAGCAGAGCAGACACGGGGAAGGTGGTTGTGCTTGAGCCCACATTCCCCCGAGATCCCAGAGCCCCACGTGCTGCTGGTGATACGGCACTGGGCAGTGCTGGCCTGCTGCAGCCCGGGGAGGGGAGGTGTCCCTCGGCTCAGAGCCAGGGCTGGAGGCAGCCTCCTCCCCCAGCACGTCACAGAATCACAGGATCACAGAATGGTTGGGGCTGGCAGGGCCCTCTGTGGGTCACCCAGCCCAACCCCCTGCCCAAGCAGGGTCACCCAGAGCAGGCTGCACAGCACCGCGGCCAGGCGGGGCTGGAATATCTCCAGAGAAGGGCCTCGCTGGGCAGCCTGGGCCAGGGCTCTGTCACCCTCAGAGGGAAGAATTTCTTCCTCCTGTTCAGCTGGAGCTTCCTCTGCTTCAGTTTGTGTGTCTGGAGTCAGACTGCTTGGCCACTGGCCCCAGTGCTGGCTGAGCCTCTTTCGTCCCGGAGGTGGTGGGAGGGCTGCTCCCTGGTTAGTGAGCCAGAGGGCATGCCCAGTTCTGGGTGGCAATCCTCCAGGGCAGAAAGCTCTGCCCCTGCACCTCAGTTCCTCTCCGGCTGTTGTCCGCTTACTCTGTAGGACACGGTTCAGAAACACCAAGGGCAAGTCTGTGAAGAAGAGCCGGGACTGGATCCTGGAGAAGAAGGAACGTAGACGACGACAGGGCAAGTAAGTTCAGCTGGGTTCTGCCTCAGCTGAGGCTGCCTGTGCTGGCCTGGCCTGCTGTCACCCGTTCAGACTCCTGCCGTGACCCGCTTCCCCTCCCCTCCCAAGCGACCTGTGGATTGTGCTTAGCTGCCTTCTGCTGTTCTCCACAGGGAGGTGCGAGCAGATACGAAATACACGGGTCGAAAGCGCCGCCCTCGCTTCTGAATTGCTCTGGACGCTGCTGAGGTGGAAGGCGGTGTGGTGGTCCCTCCAGCGAGCCTCCCATGGACAGCACAGATGGGCACCCCAGGCCCGGGGCTTGCTGGGACAGGTCGTTGTGGCTCTTGGAGGTGCAAACTGGCTCAGGTGCTGCCCAACAGCCAACTGCAAAGCTTCCGGCCCTGTTTTCCCGGTGAAGGTGAAGTGGCAGACAGTGCTCGGGCCGCTTGGTGTCTGCAGTGCCATTGCTTATCTTCCCAAGTGTGTGTGAGCCAGCTGAAGCTCCAGGTGAGCCAGAGCATCGCGTCCAGCCTCCTCACTAAACAGGCAACGAGTCGGAAGCGTTCCTGGTCTGTGTCGTGCCCTCGGCGCAGGGGGGTGCTGAGGTGGGAACAGAGCACCTCGTTCCCTGCCAGCTCCCCCTCTGCCTGCGGGCAGGGGGTCAGGCAGCATGAGGGTGCGTGTCCCATGAGGGCAGGTCTTGCTCCTGGCAGAAGTGCTCGTTACTCCTGGGGCAGCTGCTCCTGTGGGCACTTTGCTCCAGGCCCATCCTGACTGCTTTGGTGCTCCCAGGGTGCTGGGGCTGTCAGCCCAGCTCCCCGTCACCTCCTCCCTTCCCCTGAAAGAGAGAGGTGCCAGCCAGAGCTTTACAGTTACAAATGTTTATTCTACATAAAAATTCCACAAAATGGGAAGCTGTTTTGCACCCAGAGCTTTGGGAGAAGAAAGGGAGGCTAGCAGGGAGGGAAAGGGTGAAGGAGAAAAGAGGCAACGTACAGTGTCATCCAGCCCAGTGAGACAGAGCAAGCCAGGGTCAAGATCCACATAGAAAACAAGGACACTTAGCTCACAGTACAGCAACAGTACAACTCCACAGGGGGCTCGGAAAGCCTTCAAGTACATTAATTACAAAAAAAAAAAAACCAATCCCCAATTCGAGTGCAAGCTGTGCGTGCCCCACACTGCTCGTGGAATACTGCATCGACACGCTCCCGGCGCTGGGAGGGCAGGTGGCACTTGGGACAGAGGCGGTGTGACCCGAAGGACAAGCGGCTGGGGGCTGGAAAGAAAAAAGTGAGATGTCTCCCCAAAGCACAACCACGCTGTTGGTGATTCGGTCTGTACATGCAACGACGGGTAGGTAAAAAGGAACCCAACGGGGCTTCGCATAGTGCAGGGGAAATTATTGCACCAAAACACCCTCCCCTCACAG